TAAAAAATAAAAAAAAAAAAGCCTCCAATCTCAGGTAGCTATAGTTAAAAACATATCATTAATAGCTATTTATCAGTTATTGAGGATCCCTAGATGCTAACCTCAAGGGTAGCAATTCAAAATGACCAGCTGCTCCATGGGAGAAAGATGAGGCTTTCCACTCCCCTAAGAATCCACAGCCTTAGAAACTCCCAGAGGCAGTTCTACTCTGTACTATTGGGGCAAGATGGCCAGAAGTGACTCAGAGATAGTGAATTTAGCAGTTATTGAATACATGTTATGTTAAGTAGCACAGCCTAGATTTGAACTTCTAAACTCCAGAGCCCAGCCTCTTCTCTACTGTCCCGTTTGTCCCCAGTCTTGGTTGTGAATCAGGGAGATTTATTTTGAGACTCAAAGAGGAAATTATATTGCAGGTTAGAAGTAGAGCCAAGCTGTAGTGGGACTATAACCAGAAATTTAAAAATTAAAATCATTCTGTACTCAAGGTTCACACCACAGGCTGTCTGATCTCTGCTTCTCGGTCTCTACCTTGAACTAACTCTACTTGTATATGAACTTCTAACTCTAAGGTTCTCTGTTTTACCTCTTGAGTTTCTAATATTCATTCCAGTGGCTACGTAGAACTCACAGACAGAATTTATGACTAAAGGGTTTATTTAAAAAGCCATGGAGTTGTATTGCTAGTGAGAAATGCTCAGGGTTGAATTATCAAAACATGTCACAAAGTTATTTCTGGCCTGCTAATAAATGCCCAAAGGTGCATACCATTCCACTGTAAGCCTCAACCTGAAGACACTTAGCTCTGCTTCCAAGTCAGCAAGTGCAACATTTCCAATTAAGTGCTTAGAGACACCCACTCCACAAGCCAGCCACCTGCACAGAAGCACTCAGCTTTCCTTGCTCTATGGATTGGGAAGTCTGTTTCATGCTCTGGCTCCTAGTTCTGCTGCTGCTCCTGTGAGGGTATAGCTGTCTTCTAAGGTTCACTGCATAGGCATCTCAGGTCCAAAGGACACTCTCCACCTACTGGCTCTTGCTGGTAATGAGATCCCCACTGCTTCTTAGAGGGCTCATTTTATACACAGCAGGAAGGCTGTTTGCAATCCCTCACAGGCGACTCCTATCAGCATTCCCCCCACCTTCTTACCAGACCCTTGTCATTTGAAGGAAGGTAGAGACTTTGGCTAGAAGGCCACATTAAAGCACTCACTGCCCCTGTGCACCGTACACACAGAGTTTTCCTGTGTCTTACTCCAGATGTTCCAGAACGAATCTGTGGGTCACCCCAACCTACAGGTGCTTTTCACCTCCATAGAGTATGGATGACCAATCCGGTTTTGAGCTAGAGTAAGGGGACTAGATTTTAGCATTGGTAAAGCGGGACACCATTGATAAAACTTATATCCCGGCGAAATAGCCACATGGCAGCCCCTAGCTGTATCCCCTAGCTTGTCGTGCATTCTTTCCAAACATTGGGACTTTTAAAAAATGCCGCAGGATGCGGGAAAATTGTTAAAAATTGGGCCTGTCCCACCAAAAGCGGGACGTCTGGTCAACTTAAGCTGGAGGGTTGGGAGATATAGGATACAAATGAAGCAGCAGGAACCTTAGGCAGCAGCAGTGACCAATATGCCTGGTCTGAGTTCTCTGTTGAAAGTCTTCGAGAACCTGAAGGAGGGGAGCACGGAGAAGCAAGAGCAGGAAAGAGGATGTGTTGTCTACCACGGGAAGCCCCTTTCTTGTCACTGGGCACAGAAAGAGAAGAGTTCACAGATCATTGCAAGGTTTTCTTCTCAAGCACCATTGGTATTTTAGATCCATTCATCTGAGAATGATATAAAAATTTGTTTATGTTTGTTTCCAGGTTCCTGTCCCACCAATTTTGGGGTTTTATCAAATGCAGGAGGAAGAAGTACAACTAAAAATAACAGTTAATTTAAAACTTCATGAAAGTGTGAAAAATAATTTTGAATTCTGTGAAGCTCATATACCTTTTTATAATAGGTAGGAATAAAATAATGTATTCATAATTTCTACCTTAATACAGTCACACTGCCTCACAATGAATGATTCATCTTGGTTTTTTACCTTATTTTTAAAATCTTAAATAATTTTGTTAGTCAAATGAATGCTGATTCTGAACCAATAAACAGCCTTAAAAGTTTGTCATTTACTAGCGAGTTTAATTAGAAAAAGGACACAGGTGAAATTGAACAAATGAAAAACGTTCTCCTAACAAATAGCAAGATGTGTATGCATTATTACTAATGTGCTCTGGACAGTGGACTCGGTCATAACAATTGTGAGGAATGGAGCCAGACTGGGTAGGATTTCATTCTGTTGTCCGAAGGGTTGCTGTGTGACTCCGTAACATATAACCACAATACTGTCCCTTGGTGCCCTGTTGGGTAAACGTTGGATTGGGAACTGCAGGATCAGAATTTCAAATCTACCACTCCACAATAGAAGGATGAGCTTGTCTGCTCTTTTAAAGATGTATAGCCCAGAAAACCCTATATAAGGTTGCTATGGGTTTTCTACATGCATATCAAGCGCCACTGTTTATCACATGGTGAATTAAGCCAGCTACATAAGAGGATTACTTTTGTATCAGTTCTACTTTTCAATTAATCTGCAACATAGTTCTGGGAAGCATAGGTCTTTTCAAAGTACACCTGACTATTTAGTAAAATAATAGTTTAATGTTACATGTCAATGCATGTGACTGTATTACTATTGTCTATGTGGTTGTTACAGTGTTCTTTATGCTTAAAAGTTAAGTAGATATTGCCAAAAATTGTGTCATTAGCTTTTGGTATGTTTGAGATACAGTACTCATTATTGGCTAAACTTCTGCACACTTAAATACAGAGCTCTCTCATGCTGCTGTGGTAATAGCCCTCGTGATGCCACGGGTTAAGCATTTGGCTGCTAGTCACACGAGTAATCACCCATAAACACAGCCCAGCCCATCCACAGGCTTCTCTGCTTCAGTAAAGATGTGCAGTCTTGGAAACCTTGCAGAGCAGCAGTTCTACTCCAAACCAGGGGAGTGGGCACAAAATTTGACTTCCACCTCTGAAGAGTTCTATGTCGGTGACCATTTTTTCATATGTTCTTGTCATTTTTTTAAAAGAGGTCCAATCACACATGTGGAATACAAAGTCAGTTTTGGCCAGCTTGAAGTCTTGCGAGAGAAAAGCTTATTGATCTGGACTATTGGTGAGTTCTATTTTGTTTATTGGGTATCTCCCACCGAGCCCCCTTTCATCTGCATTAGAATGGTTGATTCCTGTCTTTGTGCTTTTAGGCCAAAAGTTCCCAAAATCGATGGCAATTACTCTTTCTGGAATTATAACTTTTGGTGCAAAGAACCCTGAGAAGCAGCCATTTGACCAAATTTGCATTGGTGGCACAGCATATGTGAAGGTAAGTGGGGGTACGGGGCTCACCACATCAGAAACGTCTCCTTCTTTTAAAATTGTGGCGAAATATACATTCATTGTTTTTACAATATGGAGAGATGGAGTTGATTTTCCGTGTTTTCCAGTGGTGGTCTTGTTTTTTACTTTTTTTGTCTGAGCTCAGACATTTTGGGGTTTCTATTAGATTCTTTTTTTTAGTAGCAATCATTTTCCTTTTTTTCCCCCCTCTTTATTTTTTTTAAATGATTTTTATTAGGGCCTCATACAACTCTTATCACAATCCATACATACATCAATTGTGTAAAGCACATTTGTACATTCATTTCCTCATCATTCTCAAAAATATGCTCTCCACTTAAGCACCTGGCATCAGCTCCTCATTTTCCCCTCTCCCTCCCCGCTCCCCCTTTTCTATTCTACTAAAAAATATTTTATGGTTGAACAGTTCAGTGTGATCCAGATATCCCAAATCAACCTGGTTCTCCCAAGTTCATAGTTATCACAATCAAGATTTCTATACAGAAAAATGGGTAAGATGTACTTCTTGCCCTTGGGCTATTCTTCTGTGGGCATGATCAAGGTCAACAACTGATCAGTGCTAGTTGCTTTGGGTTTTCCAAGGAAAGAACAAGAACTTCCAGTCAAAGTGGTTAAGGCAAGCTTTGCCATAGAGATGAAGTTTGAACAAATGCTGAGGCCTGAATTAGCGTGAATGTGACGCCCTCAAGATTACCATTTGTATAGTGAAGCAGTGACTTAACTAAAGGGGTGATGAGAGAGCAGTGAGCCGGGGCAAGAATCGGTTCCAGAAACAGTAGTGGCACATAAGGCAAGATAAAGAATTTAGATCTAGATGGTGGATTCTTGAGGCAGACAGTATTATGTGTGCTGGGTTTTATTTTATTTTGAACCGGGGAAGTGGTGAAAAAGCATGGATGCTGTATAAAGAGTGATCTGAAATAGGGGAGGGGGAACTGAAAACCTGAAAACAACGAAATCATTTTAGAGCTCTACGTTTTCCTGGTGAAAGATAAAAAGCTACCAAGGCTAAACTAGTGAAGTGTCAGCAGGAAGAGAAGAAAAGGGCCGGGAGAAAAAGGAAGAGGCTTCTGTAAAAGCTGGGATCGAGTTAAAACTTCTCTCACTGCCATCGCTGCTGACTCCTCGCCACCCTCTAGGACAGGCTAGAACTGCCCCTGTAAGTTTCCAAGACTAACTGTTTGCGGGAGTAGAAAGGCCCAGCTTTCTCCCTCGGAGTGGCTTCCAACTGCTGGCCTTGTGTTGGGAACCCAACTCATAACCACCAAGCCACCAGGGCTCCTGGTCACTACTGATTAGATGTAATGACACGAAATTGCTGTCAGCCAAAGATTATGTCATTTAAACATACATGTAGCTTAACACCAGTTTTGAAGTTTCAAGAGGGCAGGAACTTTTTGTGAATCTCATTCATTGTTTTATTCTGCACAACTACACACAAATATTTACTGAATGATTGAATATACTTATAAGAAAGTACAGAACTGATATATGGGGAAAGAAGGAGTGAATGAGCTCGATATTATCTAAATTGCTGGTGATAGCCACATTCCCCAATGTAAGCTTCAATAGGTAAGGTAAAGGCCTACAAAACAGGCTTTTCATAGTTCACATGAGTGTTGCCACTCCAAATCTCCAACTTTATTTCTGCAGAGAAGGGACTAGTGGCCCACTCTGTTACAGCACAAATGATCACTGTGATTTATGGTGATGGGCCCACATGACCAATTAAATTAGGGAACCATTTTTTGTTTTCTGGAAATTAAATAGAGCAGCTCATTCCCCCAAACACCCAGGTAAATTAATGTCTCTGATTTAATAATCGTGTTCCTGTGTTTTGCTGGCAGGTATATAAGCTCCTGCCTGCTGTGAAGTGTATCACAATAGCATGGTCCTAGGTATAGAGGATCCCCGACAAATAGGAGAGGGAGCATCCGCATTAGTAGTTAGTCAGGTCTCAACTCACATGTCAGCTCTGCTACTTACTGCTTCTGGCTCTGAACCTTAGTTACCCAGCTTATTAAACGGGAATTCTATTCCAGTGATTTTCGTTCCATTGTGTGCAGGGTGCCGTGGGTCAGAACCGACTCAGTGGCACCCAGCAGCAGTTCCCATCTTGAAGTTCCCTTATGCAAAGGAAACGACTGTGTGTGTGTGTCTGTAAGGGTAAGTCACACACACAACATTCAAGTTTAATATCTGAACTTTATGGATTTTACAATGTAATATCCCTGAAAGGGGGAAAAATGTGACTCGTTTTTACAAAATAATCACTTCCCTTTGGTACATTCTTTTCTTTTCTAGCTTCATTTTAAGATCTTAGATTACACACTCACCGGGTGTTACGCAGATCAGCATTCAGTTCAAGTGTTTGGATCAGGAAAGCCAAAAATAACTACACGTAAGTTACACGGATTTCAACTAATGCAAAACTAAATGGTATTATATTGTTATTACCTATGCTAACTTTAAATGTAACAGAGTCTAGAGATCAGAGAATAATTGCAATGTGTAAATATTCTAGCTGGATCCCATACCTGCCTAACAGTTTGTATACTTTATATTGCTCTCTGCCTTCTCCTATATATAAAATGGTCACGGATTGGTGTTAAGATTGGTTATAATCAGTACACTTTTATTCAGAGGTGGTCTCAGGACCTTTGAGACCCAGTAGATCAGAGTTTGAGTCTGGCTCCAACACTCTGTTACCTAGGTAACGTTAGACAAGTACACGAACTTATCAAAGTTTCCGTTTCCTCATCTATACAATGGAAATAATATTATTTTACTCAGCATTGTTATGAGGTTTCACTAAATTTATATCACCCCATACTTAGCATGTATTCATTCAGTTCGGGTTAGATATTGTTTTATTTTTAATATTTTTTAGTAAATGTTAGCAATAAGCAATTATTTGGCAGCTTCTTAATTCTGTCAAGTATTGTTCTTGTTGACTGTCATCAAGTCAGCCCCAACTTCCGGTGGCCCCACAGAACTGCTCCTCAGCCCAGAATCTCTGCAAACGCAGGCTCAGCCTTGCAGTGGGTTTGAACTGCTCGCTTTAGGTAGCAGCCAATTATAGGAAGAGCTTAAGTATATGCTATATATGAAAATATTGGGAGAATAATAGAAACTTTACAAGCAAATTCAAAATTATTTACATCAGTTCAATATATCTGTGCGTAAGTAGGATAAAACAGGAAACTATTAGAATGAAATATTTAGTTAGAAAAACTTAAAGCAGAAACGTTTTGCCCTGTACATTAGGAGACTAAAACTCTATTTAGATAAGTATTTCTTAAACTAAGGATTAAATGGAAACCAAACTCACGACCATTAAGTTAGTGCTAGCTCATAGTGGCCCTATGAGGACGGAACAGCTGCCTCTGTATATTTCTGAAACTCTAATGTTTTATGGGAGTAGAAAGCCCCATCATTTCCCGAGGAGTGGTTGGTGGTTTTGAACTGCTGACCTTGCACGTGGCAGCCCAACTTGTAACCACTACACCACCAGGTTTCCTAAACTAAGGGTTTAAAAAAACAAACAAACTCATTGCCATCAAGTCAGTACTCAAAGGTAGGACCCCTAAAATAGGAAGGACTCTGTACTTGACATGTTCAGAACTCAAACAAACGCACTGCCATTGAGTTGATGCTAACTCATAGCGGCCCTATAGGACACAATAGAACTGCCCCTGGGAGTGGAGAAGACTGTTGACAGGAACAGAAAGCCCTGTCTCTCTCCCTCAGAGCAGCTGATGGTTGTAAACTGCAGACTGGTTAGCAGCCCAACCGGTAACCAGAACTCCTCAGAACTCTGGAATTCTAAGCAATAATAAATTCGATGTAATCTGACTCAGCTATTCTTCTTTTTACTTTCTTAGACTCCCTGTGTGTTTTCTCTTGCATCATTTCTTTAATGGTTTCTTAAAGAAATGCATATATGTGAAAAAAATATTCATGATGCATCTCTTTATGAACGCATAAGTCCATTGAGACCAGACAGTGGGGAAAAAAAAATCACTGAATTCAAACAAATTAATCATTTAGGTAGTATGGGATCGGTGAGAACTGTTATTTCTTTAGCTAGCCAGGTGCTTGAGGGACACACACATCACAGGTTGCTCTCATCGACTAGCCTACAGGTTGACAGCTAGAACCCACCCAGTAGCACCGCCAGAGAAAGGCCTGGCAATCTGCTTCATAAAGATCATGGCCAATAACAGATGGATGGTTTGTTATAATATATGTAAGAGCCCCCAATAAAAATGACTTATTTAAAAAAATAAAGATCACCGCCAGGAAAACCCTGTGGAGCAGTTCTGTAACATACGGAGTCAACATGAGCGGGAACGGACTCCATGGAAATGAGTATCGACGGGAAATGTGTCTTCTCTGTAGAGAGTGCCTAAAATAGTTTACTAATTTACTAGCACTTCATTAATATCCTCTCTCTCACTGCCATCGAGTCAGGGCTGACTTCCACTGACCCGCTGTGGGTTTCCGAGCCTGTTAGATGTGTATGGGTGTAGAAAGCCCAGTCTTTCTCCTGCGGAGCTGCTGCTGGTTTTGAACTACGGACCATGCAGATCATTGCTCAGCACATACCCACTACGCCAATGGGACACCCTTTATTAATGTTAACTAGGCATATTTCAGACCATCTTATAGCAGAAAATATATTGAATAAAGGAGCTCGTGTTAAATAGATCTTTATGATCAGTGTTTAATTTCTTTTCCTATTAGTTTTGGAAAACAACTGCCACTTGGGAAACCTTATCTTGACAATGAAATCTATGTTCACAATATATAATGTCATTTTCAAAATCTTTTAGTACTGCTAATAATAATGCTTATTTGAATAAAAGCTAACATTTGATGGTCACTATGTGCCAGGCATAGCTGTGTTTTATAGGCATTAACTCAATCCTCATAGCACTCTACACACCTCCTCCTCACTTACTGGCCATCACATCCAATATTCACATTTATAACAGTAGTAAAAAGCCTAGTCTCTATTTTTCACATTAACGACATAGCATCTCACAGCAATAAATGCGAGAAGCAAGGTGAGAGTAACACTGGCTGTAATGAGTCAGGTTGTCTTAACTTGGCCAGGTTCTGATTCTTGGTGATTTGGCAGTTCTGCAATGAGGTCTTTTGTCAGTTATGTAATGATATAGTCATTCTCCATTTTGCAATCTGATGTGGCTGCTTATTTCCACATTATGCCAACTTTTATAAAACAACCTAGCCCCTGAAACATAACCAACCATGTCGATAATTGAGAAATAGATGTTTAAGTGTTATTTCCATTTTACACGAGGAAAGCAAAGCATCAAAAAGATTAGATAACTTGATTAGGGTTATAGAGCTAGGCAGAGGTAAAACTCCAAGCAGTCTGACCCTTAACCGATGTGGTACAAGGCTCTCAGATTTAAATTAAGTATACAAATAAGGTTATATGCCCTGAAATCTTTTCATTGTGAAGTAGGGCATGAAAACAGGTATTTGAGTCAGGTCTTTTGTGTTATACATGAGTACATTATATGTATCTAGCTCTAAATGTGCATTATTTGCTCAGTTTTACATATTAGAAACTAAAAATGAAAAAAAAACTAAAAAAATAAAAAAAGAAACTAAAAATTAAGAAGATTGCCAATTGTCCAAAGTTTCAAAGCTATTAAGGCAGAAAGCTTAAATGAGATAGGAACTATAAGTAATACAATCTTATGAGAAGGTTACTAGAAACAGCTGGGTGATTAGTTCCTGATACTTTGTTTTTGCAGTTGATATAATGGTCCAGAAGAAACAGAATGTAGGAGAAATTTAAGTGAAAAATGGCAGATTTGGCATAAATTAAAGATACTTGCATTTTGCTGTTTCATATGAGCTCAGAAAAGTGTTACTCAAATATTAAATGTGCCCATATTTATTAAATGGTAAAATTTATACGAATGCCATATTAAGTAGAATTTTTAGTGAATACTTCAAGGTATTGCCTTGAAATTATTTTCAGTTTCAAAAAAACCATGAGTTGCCATGTTCATTTAAATTTTAAAATAAGATATTCTTACCATGAATTACTTTTCTTTTATTTTCAGACAGAAAACTTACTTCTTCTGATTATTACATCTGGAATTCTAAAGCCCCTGCTCCAATAGCATATGGATCATTATTATTGTAATTTTCTCAGGTTTTATATATGGTAAACAGCATAAATTATCTTATTAACGTATGTGTTTATAACCAATGTGAGTGGGAAAATTGTTGATTTCCCACTGATCCTGTTCAATGGTCTTAATCTGATATGCTTTTAAAAATATTTTAAAGATTAATATCTCCAATTTTCTTACAGTTTTTATGTTATCCAAATATGATTAAAAACATAAAACAATAATGATTTACTTTACACTTATAGGTGGGTCCTGGATCATCCTATTACCCATTTTCCTTCCTGCCTTTGTGGCAGACATTACTAATCAATCACAGCCTTCTTTCTCATCTGAACGTTCCTGGGTGAGGGTTCAGATTTCTCAGTATAGAACTCCAAGCAGCCCTACCAATGAATTATAGATGTCATGCAAGAGAAAATTGCTAAGGAACTCGAGCCCTAAGCTGCTAAGATAGTGTAGGGTTACAGAATACCAAAACTACATTAGAAACACATGCTAATTGTTTAGCTATTAACCTCCCCTCAACCCAAAGTGTCGTACACACTAATAAAGAATCTGTATAATTCTATTCGAGGTGTCCATTTCTATCCTAGTTCGTCTCTTGCAATGACATTTTGCCTAGACTCAATAAGCATACTAAGAGGGGATAGAATACCTTTAGTGGTTGAGCACAGCATTTTGTGATCAAATAGGATCTGTAGCCAAATTTTAAAAGGTTAATTTAGATACAATACTGCTTTTTCCATATTGTATTATAACTCATTAATGAATAAATTCATGTCAAAAATTTAAAAAGTATTTCTTGAGTGCCAAACCAAAACAAAAACAAATGCACAGTCACCAAGTTGATTCCAACTCATAGCAATCTTTTGGGCCTATTGGACAAATTAGAACTGCCCTTTTGGCTTTCTGAGACGAAATCTTTGGGGAAGCAGACTGACTCATCTTTCACCTACAAAGCAGTTGGTGAGTTTGAACTACTGACTTTTGAGTTAGCCTGTCATGTAACCTGCTGCATTACCAGGGATCCTTATTCTATGGACGGAGAGTATCATTTACCCTTGTTTTTCTCAGGTAGCATCTTGTCTTTAAATTTGTCTGTCTCATTTTTTAAATCAGCTATCACTTACATTTTTAGGAACCACGAAGTCATAGGACATATATTCTTGTTTTCACACCAGTTCATTGGACATTAGTTGATCATTTAAGAAAAGTTGAAATCATAAGACTCTCAAAGCTTAATTCATGTCAGAGTTCTTTGTTTAGAATGGAATTAGAAATGCTTTAAATATATATATAATTGAATTAATAATTTAACTGTATTTTGTTATTTTAATGCAGTTCCCTAAAAGAACCTTAGAAAAAGCTGCTAACGTCTCAAAGGAGAGCTGTGGTGGTTTAATGGAATAGCGCATGTCAGTTGTCAGTGTAGAATTTGGTATATGGTTTGCTTATGCTGGGCTGCTAACCGCAAAGCTAGCAGTTCTAAACTGCCAGCTGCTATAGGAAGATGAAGCATTTTACTCCTGTAAAGAATAAGTCTTGGAGGCCCACAGGGACAGTTCTACCCTGGCCTATTAATGCAATTCCAACTATGAGTCAGAATCTACTCGATAGCTTGATTTTTAGGGGTGGTTATTCATTCGTTTTAGTTAAAGTCCATCCCACTTATTATAAATTCATTTTGTACAAAGCAAATTATTCTATATTTAAAATTATCACAAGTAGCAGAGAAAATAGAATTAACTGCCTGAACAAGGCTTTAGCGTGGTATTCTAGCATAATCATAGATAACCAATAATAAAGACTTTACTTTTCCGAGAAGAAAGAAAAGGTCCCTCTTAGTTAACTGGGTCACTCTTACATTCTTGGGGATATTAATGGAGCTTTTTTGGAAATCTGGAATGTACAAGTGTGTAACAAAGTACACTGAGATAACGGGAGCCTTCTTCTCATGACCGGCCAGAGTCCATAATAACCCACTAGCCCAAATTTTCTTTATAAACAATCATTTTTAAAGCACTGAGTCTGTGATTTGACATTTCTAGACACCAGAGGAGAACTCGAGATGTGTCCTGGAAGAATGTCGGGTGCTGTAGCACCTGATGCCATCTGTTGCCATTCCATCCGAACATAACACTGCAAAACTAAACCAACTCGCATTTTCATCCCATGGAGATCAGCTGAGCACGCTTTTGATTTTGTCTAGAAATCTGTCACTGCCGGATAATTTCTGAGGACAAAGTCTGTTCCCCGTTTGGCAGGTGACCAGTTGAATGTTTTCCCTGTGTCCGGGGACTCCTTAGTGTAATTAGCGACCTTTGAACCCCACAACTAATCCTGAGCTATTTTGTATTCCTTACTCATCTTTAAGGCTGGACCTTTTCTTTTCTTCAGAGTCCGCTGCCACAATTAAAGAAGAAACAGCTGCATTTCAAAGGGATTCCCATTCCAGAAGCTTAATCGTGATTGACACGTTCTTATTCTAAGCTATAAGACACTCTAAGAGTCCTTTCGTGGGTTAAAACTTCAATCATTTCCTAAAAAATTATCTCACTATGGATTTTATTCATTTTCTTTGATAACTCTGCTTTGCATTATTTAAAATCGAAAGATGCTTTGGTTTACAATGAATATGAGCAACTACGCCCAGTGTAAGATCGGATGGTGCCAGACCGACTCTAGATGCAGGGGTGCTAACTTCTTTTTTTGAAGTGCCAAAATATGATTAGGAAGTCTGAATGTCTATCATATGGGTGATTATTGCTGCAAACCCAAAAGGCTAAGCGGGGGTGTGGGGGGGTGAGGTTGACTTTCAGAAAACTCAAGAGAAGGTGGTTGGTTGAAGTCAGCAGCGTAGTAGTAGGCCACACCCTAACAGGGGTAGGTCTTAGCTACTTTCCAAATAATCGCTTTGATAGCCAACTTTACAGTAAATAACCTTGTCGGAACTTCTTAGCGGCATTAACTTGCTTAACAATATTACTTTGATTAAACATGATTACTCTGTTCCACAAAATTACTTAACCTTTTCAGTTAAAGATTACTTTAGGTCACATCTGTTTAGTGTTTCTAATCAGTTAAAATTATAGTTTATGTACATTGCACAAGTGATTGTCTTTATAATACTGACATGCATGGTAAAAACTGCCAATATTTCCATTATAATTTTTGTTAGGATATCAAAATACAGGCATTCACAGGCTCGGGCAGCAGTTCTGCGAAGTAGGCAGGTGGGTAGAGTGATCACCCAGAGCCTCTGCAGGAGCTGCCGCCACCACAGAATGGTACTTTCTAAGACAAAGGTCAAAAAAAGGATGTTAATAAACAGTCCTCAGGTTTAAGGGACTTTTTTAGGATTACATCTTAAATTCCAACAAATCAGATTTAGGAGTTCCTGAAAGTGAAATTGATCCATCCCTCATCCAAACTTTGCAATACTTTCCTGTTCTGACATCATTTAGATAGTTAGCTGTATTATCAGATTAGAAACCATTGTACCAGACTGCTGAAAGGAAAGGGAGGCAAAAAGCTAAACAGGGGATGAATTCTGAACCTTTTAACCTGGCTGAAGTACGTTGGTCCCTGTTATGCAAATAGCTTCAATCCTCCGCTAAGTTCAGTGGAAATAATTTTCTTGAATGACAGGTTTATTCAGCAAGGATTCAGTTGGTGATTAATCCCCCTTTGATCTAGGGTATTTCACTTAACGACCAGTTCCCTCGTTCTGACAAAGTGCAACTGAGATTAGGGAGATCACTAGAACACTAGCAGGGTGTGCGTCTATTCTGTAGACCCTTTGAAAGCAAGGGCAAAGAATGCAATTTATTTTCAGTATTTGCAGATGTAAAGTCCTTTCTGCTAAGTTAGAAAGTCAACTGAATACCAAATGTAGTTTATTTCTTACGTAATAGAGCAAACATCACTTTTTGCTCCGCCTCACAATGGTTATAGGAAACATGGGCTTTGAAGAAAAAAGAAACAAAGACTACATTCTAAATATAGCTTCTCTCTTTGTTTCATGTACAAGAGTGTACACTTCTGGGCCCCGAGGTAACCCACAAATCAAATCATGCAGTGAGCATGGCCACGGAGGCTGAGGGAAATGCTTGTGTCTCAGGAACTGCATGAGCCATCTCCCACCCCATTCAAAAAGCCATGCTCTGTGGATAAGAAACCCAGTTGGGAAAAATGTAATAACACAATTATTCATGTAAGATTTCTGATTTTGAAGTTTCATTTGTTAGCTTTGCCGATCCTTGAAGAAAGGAAGTTTTGTTAAGTTCCAGTTGTTAATTCATTTACTTTCAGGATGAGGTGTTTTGTGCCCCTGTGTGCCCCCACCCCTTTCTTTTATGAAAGATAAATTGTACCATTGCTGAAATTCTTGAAATTTCAGTAACTTTTTTTTGCATTATCAAAATAACTATTTTTCTAGATTCCTATTTTCTCATTAATCTGGGCAACCTCTTCCATTTAAACTTTAATATGTACTATGGATATATTTTGCACAATATATTGAAGGGGGAAAAAAATCAATGTTTTTGTTCCTGGCTAGATTTCTCAGATAATTTGCTTATAAAAACTTAACTAATACCATTGTAAGTGTCTTACCTTATAAGATTTCAAATTGGATTTGTTCCTAAAGTATATGTTAGGAAAACATAAAGCTTCAGTTTTTATTAAGGATTAGTGTTTTTGTACTTTAGCCCAAACAGTTTAAGTGCTTTATAGTTGTTAATGAGTCAGTTTGAAATTTGCTTTTAGATTTTTTTTCTTATACTATTTTTTTCCTCTCAAACTTCTTGTGATCTAATTGATAAATTGAAATAGTGGCTCAAATAAGTACATCTCTAATTTATGTTGATGCTAATCCAACCTTTCTAGTTTCAGTTAAAAAATGAAACAATTCATAAATATCTTTTGATAGCATAAAAAAACAACAACAAAATTGAGGATCAGAACTATATCAGACCAGGTATGGAGGACAGGATACAATATTTATATTATAGCTGTTGCTAAGTAACTCATGGTTTCAGTACTCCATTCAGTAAATAATCAATAAAATATTATAGTATATTTTAGAGCGTACAATGAGAATGTTTATATAAAACATTTGTTTGTATACATGCAGCACATGTTAGTGTATCTGACTTGGTTGATGTCCCTTACAACATTTTAGTATATCAGAGGAAGAAGAATATTTGAAAGTTAAAAATATAAATAGCTCCCTCCCAAAAGCAGTGTTAATAATTAACAACCTGTAACAGAATGATTCATTAAAGTGGAAATTGCCCAAGAATTCATGAAGGTAGTCTTACAGAATGTTTAATACTCTCATAATCTGACAGCTTGTCAACTATTTTTAAATTTTATGGATGTGATAATATTGTCATATGTAGCCTGGGACAGTCGATGTCATATTTATATCACAAATTGACTGCCTTAGAAGCAGCTTGCTTTCTTTAAGGCCCTGACTGGTCTGTGTAATTGATTGCAGTATGATGGTAATGGATCAATGCAGAAACATTTACAGACTGGTACATCCCTAAAGATGTAAACTACCTGCTGAACTGCTTTTCCATGAGGTCCTGTAAATGTGGATATCCAATAATTCATTAAACATCTAAAGTCAAAATGTATGTGTCCTTTAAATCGCTTCCTTTAAATTGTACTTTCTGTGAAAAGTTGTTAATTTCTGTTCTTGAAAACGTTTACTTTCTCCTTCAAGGGTCTTGAGTGCCCTCTGCAGGTTGAAAGGAGAATAATAAATTGTTTTAAAACCCTGTGATGCCTCCTTCCCCCTTTTAAAAACAGCATGGTTACATACATTCTCAAAAAAGCGAATTACTTTATATTGTGCACACTGTTGTTCAAACTATTCTTTTACAAATGAAGTAGAAATTGTGTTGGCTCTTTTTTGGAGAGGGTGGGGGAGTGCATTGGTGTATGTGTGTGCTCAGACATAATTAGCTGGTTTTACAGTGGTGCGTAGTGTGGAAAGTGTGTTCCGTGGGACTGTCTCGATCACTTAGCTATGACTCTTCCATGTTGGGGCTATAGGAGCATACTTCTTTCACAAACCAGAGATTAGGAAAACATTTAGCTATCTTGACATTTAATGAAGATGTGAAGAATAGCTTAGTTCCTTTTTTTTAATTGTAATGTATTTACACTAACCAGGCGTCCTCAAACTGCGGCCCGCTGAGGACATTTATCCGGCCCGCTGGATGTTTTTGCCCCATTTGTTTTTTTACTTCAAAATAAGATATGTGCAGTGTGCATAGGGATTTGTTCATTGTTGTTTTTTTTTAATTATAGTCTGGCCCTCCAACGGGTCTGAGGGACAGTGAACTGGCCCCCCATTTAAAAAGTTTGAGGACCCCTGGACTAAACCATAATTGTTTCAGTGTACATCTTGGAAAATTGCATGGGAGTCCAATTCTTTGTTATATTGTTGATAACTGTATCAACATCAGACGTTTCAGGCTCTTTTTTTTTAACGTTGATCCGCTACCCCTTGCCCCTTACTGTTGCTTAGGGCCGCTACCTAGAGAGAGCCTTTCTGTTTGAAGAGCACACAGCAAACTGTCCTTGCCATCGTGTGAAAGTGGGTGAGTCACTCACTTCAATGGACTCAGACTTTCTCAAAGGCTGTAGCGTCCGCGTCTGTAAAGGATGTCACCATCCACTCTGTCTGAAACTAGACATGAAGTGCTAGTGGCACTTCGGGTTCAGTTAACTTGCTGACGCTGCCGGGGAAACGGATGAAAACAAGAATGGCTGGGTCACATTAATAGAAATAGATCTTTTTGCAAGCAGCATAATGACCCTGATCATCAACCTTGAAAAGTAAATTAGAACAAGCAAATTGCTGTTGAAGAATCCTTTGAGCTCTCTGCTGTTGCTCCTCTCCTAGCCATGGCTCTGCCAGCGGCAGTGAAAAAATGCGCTCAGTTTTGCAGTGACAAAGGAAACATGATTAAAGCGAGTGTTTACATTGTACGTATTGAAGTGTTCAAAGAATGTTTGTTGCATCTTCAAGCAACCTGCTGTTCTTCAATGAAGTTATGATAAAAATCACTGTACATTTTAGAAGTATCACTGATATTTTGCATTGTTTTTCAACTTTTTACTTCAAAATATTCAAGTGTCGAGCTTATAAATACCTCGAATTTTTTTTTCATCTCAAGGAAACGCACCCCATTAAAGTTATTTTTGGTCTGAATTTATCTTCCAATTACTTCCAAATGTTTTATGTAATTTTCTTTCTGGAAACTGTAGTGTAAGAAACAAGGTGGGGATCAAACGAAAGGCCTAAAACAATTGGGAAGTGAGTGAAGTGTGCAGGTGACTACATACTGTGCATTTTGGGGAAATATCTGTTAAGTAATTGTGATAAATGACTTGGAAGCTACAATACTCTTGGACTACCTCCTGAGATCTAAATTGAAAGTCAACTGGATAGTAATTGACTAACTCCACTGCTGTAGAGAGTTGATCCGTCTCAGAGACGCTAGAGGATAGATTGTGGGGGTCCTGAGGCTGTACATCTTGATGGAGCAGAAAGCCCCATCGCCCTCCTTTGGAGCTGCTGCTGGTTTGAAACTGCTGACCTTGTGCTTACCGGCACGATGTGTAAACCACCAGGTCCCCTTAATTGAACGAAGAGGATACCAGCTTAGCCACTTAGAAGTTCACTAAGTATTATGTGTACTGGTAAAACAGACAAAAATAAGGAATTTTTATCTGTCTACCAGGAGCGGTCTAAGTCACATTTGTATGTTAAGAGTAGGGTTGTCCTTAGTTGCTGTCACGTCCATTTTGGCTCATGGCAGCTCTGTGCGCAGAGTAGAATTGCACATCAAGGTTTTCAAGGCTGCCAGGCTGGTTCCCAGGGTGACTCTAGGTAGGTTTGAACTTCTATCCTTTTAACTCTAATAGTCAAGTGTTTAAACATCAGTACCATACAGGAGCTTTTAGGGGTAGTAGAAGTATGTTACTTAGCAGATAAAAGTATCATATTTTACTTGGTCTCAGCAAGTACCGTCAGATACAAATCCAACAACCTGCAATCTTTTACAGATTGACTAATTTTCCAAGAACTATTTTCATCGCCTAGATATATTTTCAGTCTTCCTCTACATTCAGCCTAAAATTCATTACCGTTAACTAAGAATAGCCATCCTATAGAATATTGAGATCTTACTAGCCAGACATTTTATTTACTATCTCAATATCACATATAGAGTAATATATATTAATTTAAAGGTCAGTATTTATGACTCCTGTATAAGCTTATCTTGTAAATGAATATTGAAATGTTTACATAAAGGTTTCACATATACATCTTTTACATGGTGGTGACTTTCCCTTCGTTGAGTGATTTTGGTTTTTTTAATCAAGAATGGGTGTTGAATTTTTATCAAATGCCTTTTTTTTTTT